ATGGGGCAATAGCGCATGGACAGGTCCTGGGGAAGGTCCCGGACCATGTCCCATAGAGCAGGTCCTGGACTAAGCCCTAGACCGAGTGATCAGGTCCTTGGACCAAGTCCTGGACCCGGCGACCGGGTCCTAGACAAAGTCCTGGACCAGGCGACCGTAGGTCCTAGACCAAGTCCTGGGTCAGGCCCTAAAACAGGTCCTACAACATGTCCCAAAGGTCCCCAACCAGGTCGTGGAACATGTCCTGAACCTGAACCAGGTCCAGGTCCTGGACCAGGTGACCGCGGCCCGCGGAGTCGCGTGGCGGTCCGTGGCCTCTGTGCGCGGCATGCGCACGGTACTGTTGTCGGCGAGCTCATGATATGTTAACAGCGCGTAGTGCTGAAAGTTGTCCTCTGTGTGTGTGTGTGTGTGCGCGTGTGTGTGTGTGTGTTGTGCAGCGGAGGGCGTGGCGGGGCGAGGCGTGGCCCATAATTGGACCATAAAGTCCAAATGCGATAGCAGTACCTGCAAGTACTCCGTCGTGGAGCGCCAAGGTCGGCGGACGCTGGGCGGGGAGGGGGAGGGAAAAGGGGGAGGGTCCGAAGGCGTCGAGGACCAGTTTCCAGCGGGACGGTTTCCGGCAGAGGCTGGAAATATCGTGTACGGCCAGCCGCCAAGAGCCGGGCCGCCAAAGCTCCCCCTATATACCGCTGCGCTGTGCGAGTCATGCGACTCGGCAAACAAGAGCGGGTTGGCCAGCCAGGGCGGGCCGGGGGACGCGGGGCGGCGAGGCGGCGAGGCGGCGAGGCGGCGAGGCGGCGAGGCGGCCGCACTGCAGCGGCGGCCAGCCTGTCGCCCCGAGGCCTCCGGGCCGGGCTTCTCACCTGTCCGGCCGCGGCCCGCCAGAGAATGGGACACCGAGCTGCTCCAATTCGGGAGTGAGAGAGAGACACCCACACGGAGTCTATTTCGGCGAGACAGCTGAGCGCGAGAAAACGATATACATACGGAGAGGAGGGAGAGCAGGGCGGGGGGTTGGCAGTCAGAGGTGTTTTGTTTGCGTTTTTTTCTCCTTTCGGTTTCGTTCTGCAGCTGCGGCCTACGGCTCCGCGCGGGCACTCTATCGGCGCGAGCACGCACGGCGGGTGAGAACTTCACAGGACGCACAACACGCAGGTCTCCGCGATCAGCCCGCGCGAGCGCTCTCGCTCGCACACACAGCCTGCCTGCCTGCCTGCCTGCCTGCTGCTGTGCCTTCTCGAAATCTGGAGGAGGGAATTTCATTCTCCGCGCTTGTGCGTGTGGGTGCCGAGTATGAGAGAGGGGACCGGGGGGACGGGGGATCACAAACAAACGAGGCACTGTCCTGCCGTCCCGCCATGGAGGCGCGGCTGCATAAACAAGATTGAGCGACTTGAAGCGAACAATCAACGATCCGCATCGACGTATGCGAAAACTGCGGGACACGTTTCTATTTACGACGTAAAAATTTTACCGAGCTCTTTTCTTTGATAAGGTGCAGCATCTCGCACTGGAGTAATTTTTTGTTGTTGTTCGGGACGGATTCGGACGGCATGTGCGGCGAGTCTCTGGGATGGATGACGGACGGCAGAGGAAGGGGGAAGAGGCAGACAGCGCCGTGTGCCGGTGAGCCGACGCGGCGTCTGTTGCACAACTACCCGTCAAGTTCAAGAGCGGCCGGTCGGCCCCACCCCGCCCCACCGCGCCCCACCCCGCCCCACCGTCAAGTTCAAGAGCGGCCGGTCGGCCCCACCCCGCCCCGCCTCATCCTGCCCTACTGCAACGTGTGGCGCGCAGGGTCCGCGGGCCGGGCTGCCCGAGATGGCCATCTTGATCTGAAGGCGGTCCAAGGCACGCCGCCCTGCTC